GAGTCTCGCCAATAATGGCCACCAAACCGTCAGCGCATCCCAGCCAGTTGTCACGGGCGGGAATGAAGTACGGTTCGGCGACCACAGCCACGTGAATCGACCACTCTGCCAAGCTCTGGAGTAGGAGATCCTGAGCTCTGGCACAGTGGTTGATGTTGCCCTGGAGAAAATGGAACTTTGCCATTATTGGCATTCCATTTCCTTCTCAACGGTCCTGGGCCGGGAGTCGCCCGCGGAGCTACTGGCCTGTGTGGGCAGCGAGGTTAACTCGGCAGGCTTGGTGCTCCTCTTCTTTTCTTTTTTGGCCTTGGACTTGCTGGTAGGCGCCCCACAGGCCCCTCCGCCTACTCTGTGCTCCGCTGGCCTTCCCGCAGCAGAGCAAAGGCTGCAGTTGAACGCCGCGGTGCACAGGGCCGCCTTGTGGCCAGGCTGGCCGCAACGGTAACAAAGGTCACTGCGGTCAACCTCGGCGGTGCACTTCGCCCGGACGTGCCCTTTTTCAAGGCACCGGAAGCACTGCAAAGCCCGGGGCTGTAGCAGCTTCGTCCTTGCCGCCACCCAGCCTACCAGCAATCTGCCGCTATCGGCAACCTTCTTTGCCGCCGCTACAGGGCACCGAACCCAGACCGCGCCAAGTCCGGTGGCATCGGTGCGTAAATCGCCGGCCCGCACCTTGTCCGGCGGACACTCTCCGCTTCTGGCCACGGCCGCCACCACCTCCTCAGATGTCACGGAGTCGTCCAGGCCAGCAATCCGCAATTCTGCGGTTTTCATTGGTCTGGAGACCCGGACGTCCTCAGGGTTGAGGACCTCTCTCATCTTGGCGGCCAATGCGTCCGCCTTTTCGGCACTGTCGCTCACAGTGCCAGCCACCTCGAACAGCCGCGCACCCGTGGCAGCCTGCCTGAGGGTGACGGACTGAAGGCCAAGATCTGATAATTTAATCTTGGCCTTGGCCTCAGCGATGACCGACTGGTACGTCACGCCACGCTCCACAGCTCCGGGCTGCAATGTTATTGTCACCGCATTGGACCGCGGAACACGTACAGCCGATTTCTTGCGACCGCCTTTGGCAGTCCGCCGCTCAGGTTGAGGAGCCGTCTTTGCGGTTCCACCTGGGGCATGTGCAGCTGCTGCGGCCTTCTTGGCGGCTTTGCGGGCCTTCTTGCGGCCCACGACTTTCGCCCATGTCTCACCCTTAGACCCGGCTGTCGTGGGCTGGTCGCTCGGAGGAGCTCCCTCCGCGGGCTTTTTTTACCCTCCATGGGCTTCCCCTTTTGAGGCGCAAGTCTCGGCGGCTCCTCAGTTCTCCGCGTGTCAGCCGCCAAAGGCGGACGTAGGGTTTCCGCCGGGAGACGCCGAGAAATCGCCTCCAGCCGAGCGTTAACCATGCTCCCGCACTGGAGCATGCAGAGCCGGACAATGCGCTCGACCTCTTCGTCGGTACGAGGGCTTGTCGGTCGCGGTGCGGGAGTCGGGGCCACTACAGATGCGGCATCGGTGGATGTGCATCTCTGCTGCTGCTCGCTCAGTGCTGCGACTTGCTGCCGGAGGTCCTCTAGATCATTTCTGAGGCGGCTATTTTCCTCCTGTAGTTTGGCGACCTCGTCAGAGGCCGTCCTGTTGAGGAGAATGCCAACCGCCTCCCTGATGTCCGCGGCAGCCTCTTTTAAGCCACGGGTGAACGTGCCCTTCAGGCTGCCAGACTTGGTGGCAACCTTCAGGACTAAGTCCACCCCATCCAGAGCCAGCTGGCTCAAGGCCACCGCAGATGGCTCTCCTTTTTCCGCCGCCAGAGCAGCTCGTCGTTCGCGAGCACGTCGGGCCATTTCAGACACTTCGTCTGCTGCGACGGCTTTGCGCTGTTCCCTCTTGGCGGCGTTGAGCTCCGCCTTTGAACTCCCCAGCGAGGCACAGCTTTCGCCGCCATCGCCAGGGTCCTCCGTAGTGACCCCCATGTCACTCTCTGCTTCACTAGCCGCCGAGGTATTGGAGCACACGAATCGTCCGTGCTTATCCCTTCGCGGCTGCGAAGCATTTACCCCTCTCGATGCCTGCCGACCCCTCCTCGAAGTCGCCAACTTGGGGGCTGGCAGGCCTTCCTCGTCCGAAGATCGGCACACTGGACGTTTCCTGGCGGAAGACGTCCCACGCGACCTATCCGCGTCTGATCCATCCTGTTTTCCTATGTCTACATTTTTTTTTAAAGGTTTATCCATTTTTTTCCCACGAGTGTGGAGGAAGTAACGGTCCGTCCGAGCAGAGCCCCCCTTTGCCCGGATAAGCCTATGCATAACCCGTCAAGGGTGTCGGCCGGTACCCTGACGGGGGGCAACGCTAACGACTGAACATTTACCCATCAGCCATGCAGCTCCTCACGGCGTGCCACGCTTGAGCTTCGGGTGATTTTTTATAGAGGTTATCATCCTCGCGACTCCAGGCGGTTAAGCCAAGAGCCCTCGGCCCCTCAGGCGCCGCGAGACATGATCCACGACACGCCAAAGGGATTCCGAGGTTCGAACGGTGGCAGAGTCGATACGGGTTCTTCCCATGCCCGCCCAGAGACCGGGTGAGGGAACTCTGAGCCCATTCTATTCCCGCGATGACGGGTTGCCCGGCGTCGGCAAAAGCCGAGTGCACCTGGCATCTCACCGCGCATGTCACATCCTCTGTTCCTCTCAGTGGAGAGGATACGGGAAGCAACTAGCAGGTACTTGATTCCATTCGGAACCAGAGGTACGCCCCAAACCCAGCCAGTTTTGGTCCGCGACTGTTTCCCGCTACCACTCATATCTGAGTGGCATTCCCCTATCCGCCACCTGGGGACGCGCCCGATGGGAGGACTGGTAACTCCACACGGGGGCGATGCACCACCTGCCCTATCCTCCGCGACTCCGGTGGAGTCACACAACAAAAGAGGTGGTTTCTGAAAGAGAATAAAGTAAATCGATATGTGTATAGAAAGTGTGTTGATGTGCAAGTAGAAGAGTTTGTGTATTTAGGATGTGTACTTAACAGGGATGGTAAATATACCAAACATATGAAACAAAGAAATAAATGACGGCTCCGCGACGCAGTGGCTTAGCAACGAGTTACAGCGCTTAAGGGCCGCGGGTTCGAATTCCGCACGGAACAAGTATTCGTATGTCCTACAAGTAATTGTTCCGGGTCTGGATGTTTGTTCTTGTGAAATTTATGTTTGTAAACTGCCCCCCACGATACAGGAGAAATACGTAGTGTGGAGGTAACGTTTTTCTAAAAAAGAAATAAATAAATAAAAAAAAAGATTGAATGGACACGGAGTATCTAAATAGAGTTCTTCACTATTTTATTGGAAAGTCACGTTAATACAAAATCCTGTGTGAGTCCACACCTTAATGTATTGTAGTGAAAGATTGGTTTGACAAAAAAAAATACAAGAGAGTAGAATTATGTTGTAGAAATGCGGACATTAAAATATATGTCAGGGGTAGGGCTGCTACCTATATTATATTCCCGTAAATAATATATAGGTGAATTGTACTCCATATTATTGAAAAATAATATAGTACGAATATACAACATTTTTATCTCTAAATCAACTGCCGCGCTTTTTATATTAACTGTGATTGAAAGCCTGGAACAAGTAAGTTTTACGGAAAGAACTATTTCCGTCATCAATGTAAAATTGAAAGAAGAAAGAAATAGAGCATGTATTAATTTAATTAAAAATTAATTGTTAATTTATTTTAATATGAACCTAAATTGCTCAGACTCGCATAATTGTTTTAAAGGTCTTTGATGGCCAAAACAAAGAGCAATAACAAATATATATGGAAAAGTACATAAACTTTAAAAATAAATATTTGTCTTTTTTTCTCCTAAATTTCTTAAAAGTATCTACTATATTTTCGGATCTTTTTTTGGAAAAAATACTATGTTTCTTAGGGTAAGAAAATGATAAGAGATGTGGTTTGTAATGTTTCAATAGGTACAGCTTTGCGAAAAATGTAGCGACCTGGTTCAAGAAAGGCGTGCTACGGTGGCTTGGACACATAACAATAATGAATAAAGGAAGAGTGACAAATCCTTCAATTCAATTTATGCTGCAGTAGCAGAGTCGGCAAGGGACTATCTAGATGAAAGTTCTACGACTATATGGGCGATATACTGAAGATGGGTCATATTAAGTGTACCCCGAACCGACGAGATGTATGTGTAGATGTGAAAGAAGCGGAAAAGTGTGTACCTATCATCGCGTATCGTGTAAAATTGAAGCCCGTAGCTCTGCCTATAGGTAACAGGCGTGGGAGTATAAATATATTTAGTACCTGGATGACCGACCTTTACTCGGTATTTTTTTTTTGGAAATTATATTTAGATACAAATTACATACTGATGAAACATGAATAATATTTTTTGATCTTATTGACATAATAGAAAAGACTGAACTGATTATTTGAATGAAAAATCGTGAGTGCAATTAGTTTAATTTAAATTTTCGTATTTATAAAAAATACTAAAAAAGGGCTCGAAATAATAGATTTTCTCAGAAAAGAAGAAGTCAGGCCGGAGACAGGGACGCGAACCATGGCACTTCGACAACGCAACCGCCCGACATCCTACTTGAGCTACTACGATCGTTATAACTCTGACAAAATTTACTTTCTTATATTGTAGCAGTTTTTCATTGCCTGAAAACACGGACAAAAGGACATTTTCTAAAAATGAATCCTAGCTAGATCGATTTATTGCCCCCGAAACCCCCTGGACACAAAATTTTACGAAAATCGTTGGAGCCGTTTCTGAGATTCCGATTATATATATATACTAGAATTGCTAGTTTAAAGGTATATGATATATGTATTTTACACATAAAAAATTCTTACGGACTCAGTATATAACTATAATAAAATTTCGCAATAAAAATAAAATTTCCAATCCGCAGTTTATGTTTCAACCGATAAATAAATAATTCACTTATAATAATATTTTTAAACGTGTTCGACTTCGTGGTCGAAATGTTGTTGGTAGGATTAACGCTTTTTTACTTTACAAATTTAGTCTACTCTGATTTGGACAATTTAATTGATAAAGACGGTAATATTCTCAATTGTTATTAGATTGATAATTTAATTTATGCCATTTTTAAGGACAACGGCCTGCCACCGTTTTTTTTATAGAATAAGGGTGACAAACGAGCATATAGTCCACATGATGGTTAGTGGATACAGTGCCCCATAGACATCTATATTTATTCTCAATTACGAATCAAAATGCAGATGCGTTGTAACCCTGTGAACTAAGATGGAATGCCTCGTTTCCAGTAAAAAGGGTCTCCGGTTCTCTAGGTAATGTACCACAGCATATATGTAACACAGCAGCACTAAGCTGCTATTTTACGCTGGTGTTCAGTGAGAGTGTGGTCCTGCCCCGGTTTAGCCGATCCATTCGTGCTGCAACCACAATATATCTGCAGTTTTGCTCTACCACGAAAAAAAAAATCGGCTCTTGTATTAATTCCAGGGATCTTATATTTTCACCCTTTAATGATTATGTATTAAACAGTTCCATATGACTACCTTTCTTGTGTGATTGGATGCACCCAAATTTTTATCATAATAAACTCCTGGATATTTGGCCTCTCAGTCTATCTATGAAAATTTGATGTATGTTCACAAAAATAAGGGTAGTTTTAGTAAAAAAAAGTGACATTACACTCTGTAAACACCAGGAACAAACACAAGCTGGCGCTCAGTCATCAGATCAGTTTCTCTACTCCACAGTCAGTAATTCATTCTTGGTACAATGTATACGCTATTGCAACAAAGTCCCTGAAAATATACAAGGACCAAGTTTAAATATTTAATTAAACAAAAACTGTATCAAAAGGGTTATTATGGTATAAATGAATACATGGTTGATAATAACCCCTGGGAATGAGGTGATCGCTTCCAAGCTGTTTCTAAAATAAATTTTGTAAATGTTTTGTGACTCTTGACATTGTAAAATTTATTTTAAAAAAAGTCCCGCTGGGTTTCTTGCCGGTTCTTCCCAGGACAGAGGTTTTTTTTTCGAATCTGTGGTAACGTAAAATATTGACTTTCAATAAGAATTACTTGTAATCTATATTGAATAAAAAATTATTCTATTCTATTCTATCCTATTCTATACATGGTAAAACAATTGTTACCGTGTATTGACGGTGTAAAATATCCACAACCCCTTATCATCCCGTGGGTGTCGTAAGACGCGACTGAGGGAAACAAATCAGGAGATGGGTAGAAGCGTGTTCCTTATAACGACTAAAAATAAAAAAAACTGCATTTGCAAGAGTGCCAACTATGGAAGATATATCTCCCCTATGAGGCAATCTTTGAGAGAGGGCTCTGCTCAGCAGTGGACTTTAATACGCTATAACGCAAACGGTAACCATCCTCGACCGGAGGAGGACCACGCTCTCACGGAATACCAGCGTAAAATGGCAGCATCATGCGTAATCAGAGACCCTTTATACTGGGAACAATGCTGCTTTATTCCATTTTCCTTCTCAAGAGTATCAATTTATTGTAACCGACTTCAAAAAGGAGTAGGTTCAATTGGACTGTATGTTTTTTTTATGTGTTACCTCAGAACTTTTCTCCGGATGAACAGATTTTGATGATTTTTATTTGAAAGCTGGTGCTTTCCGTGTGGTCCCATATAAATTTGATCAAGATCTGACCAGTAGTTTTTGAGTTATTCTTAATAATGCGTATTTAATTGACTTCGAATACATTGATGATGTTCTCATTCTATTTACATTGAAGTCGCTTGTACAATTTTTTTTTAATTTTACCACTTTTTTATAGGGTAAGGTGACAAGCGAGCACACAGTCCACCTGATGGTAAGTGGATGCTGCGGCTCATAGACATCTACCATCCTGATAAAAAAACAGATTTTCACCCGTAGGACTAAGATGGATCCTCGTTTCCAGTAAAAAGAGTCTCCGGTTCTCTACACTCACCATACGAAACACAGCAGCATTAAGCTACTATTTCACGCTGGTATTCCGTGAGAGCGTGGTCCTTCCTTGGTCAAGCCGACCCATACGTGCTACAACTATACTACTAATATAACTGCAGCATGGCTCTACCACAAAACTATTAATATTAAAACTTGTTAAGTTCATAGCTGCTTTTGGGCTTTGTTCAAATAATGTGAACATGATTCATTGATGATACCTCGATATGGAGTGAAACGAGAATTTTGTCTTGTTCTGAATGAAACTGCTGAAATATTACATTGTCACTGGTCAAGGGCATAAATAAACTTGCCTTAGTACCATATTATAATAATGAAATATTGTTCTCTAACATTATTCGATCAAAACAATGATTTTGACGCTAACATCACGTGATAGCTTTGTTAAATTGTTTAATAGTTTTTTTTTAAATAAATATATTTTTTTGTAGTTGTTAAAACACACCATTATGCAATTTGGTCCGATGGTGTCGTTCCTTTCTACGTCGATCCGGAGCACTTCGGTAAGCACATCTAAACATTCGTATAATTTTTTATAGTTTTAATACGGAACATTCTTTACCTATGGGATCTTTAAATAAATGATAAAAAGAGCCTCTGCAAGTCAAGTGGAGTTACTTTCGTCATTCCTTTTCATTGTAGATAGGCATTAAATGCACCGTCTTTTGAAACGATAGTAGAAACATAAAAAATTTCCATTTAATTTCAAACCCCGAACGTATAGCATATAAATATAATAAGTGGTACCTGGCCGAACTTTGCTCGACTTCAGAAAAAAAAATTCAAAGATGAATAGACTTAGAAAGTAAAACATTATCTAAATACAACAGGCCCTTGTTTGACACTTTAATTAGGTATATACATTAGCAACTGCTTCTGCCAGGAACTAGGGATGTGGATAAATAAAATAGATCGAATTAATTCTGTTATCTTAAATATAAATAATAACTCTAATTGACTGCCGCGTTGGTCTAGTGATCGTGAACGCGGTTGTTGATCATGAGGTCTTGGATTTGAATCCCGTTCAGAGGGTTTTGCGCCTGATATCTCTCCGGTCGTGTCGAATTTCCGTCCCATTGAACTATGACAGTTGAGAGAATACACGAAAATAAAAGTAGTTTTACAAAAATAAATGATATTAATTCTGTAAATACTAGGAACAGATACAAGCATGTAGTACCAGTTACTCGACTCCACCGAGTCAGTAATTCATTCTAGGGGCGATGCAACAAAATCCTAATATACAAAATTTCAAAATCCAATTCCAATTCCAAAGTCCAAAAATTTTAATAAGTATTGTTTATGATCTATATTGAATAAAAAAGTTTTTTTCTGTTTCTGGAGTGCACCTGTGCACACACTTGCGTAATATATACACTATAATCCTGTCATCGAAGATGGCTAGTCTCTCTGTTAAGATTGGCCGCCGTGACAGAAGTTCGGTCTGGAAGACATTATAATTAACAAAGTTTTTAACTAATTTATAAATTATAACGGGACACATCATGCTTTGTTAGTATTAAGTCCACCTTTTAATCCTGTACTGATGTAAGGTTCAATAAAGTTTAAATAAATACATGTGCACATGACGTAGGAATTCCAAATAACTATTATAGTCGGAGAGGACAATATAGGTCGTATTTCATTGCATATCATATAATGTTTCACATATTTGCCAGATCATGAACAGACCCTATCCATTAGGACGACTCTGTCCCTATTCGCGTTCAAAACCTGTCTCAAGTTCGTGCCAGTTCTGGACCGGCCCACCGGCTCCCAGCACACGATGGTATTTGAAAATCCTAAAGGCGTCAGAAAATGTGTGTTCAACATCGACGGGCACCCAACTGAAGAGCCGCATGTAAGTATTTTTAAGCTTGGGCAAACTATATATTCTCCTAAAAATATCGATATGTATCATTGATAGTTTTAAACCGAAATATATCGATATTTATTTTGGAGTATCCAATTCGTATCAATTTCTATATTATATTTTTAAATGTATTAATCGACAAAGCATTAAGCAATATAAATAGCTACAAAATTATTCTTGTGCTGTTGTCGTTTTTGTTTCATCCAACCGTCCAAAACATGACGATATATCGATACTTAACACGTGATGTATATCGATACTGTTTAAAAATATTGATACGATATATATATCGATAAATTTGCTGCACTTGTCGATCCCTATTTTGTGTATTGAAGAAACTATTCGAAATAATATGGGTACAAATTAGATAAAGCGTAAAAACCTTAAAGTAAAAGCATACTTAAGAATATTTTACTGTGGCGAATATATAAGTAAGATAAATGAATATGCGAGGGCGCGTCTGAATAAACGAGGCCGCAGTAATTTTCAACTTTATTTTGAAATGTTGTTTTTTTTTAACTTTTAAGCCACTAATTCAGTACGAACCCACCTTATAGTAAATAGGAGTGGGCTATACTAGATAAAGATAGAAGCCTGTTCCAAAGTTAGTAAAGTTGTTTTTTTTTTCATAAACGAGTTGATGCATGTTGGCCACCAACATCCATCGACATATTTACAAAAAAAAAATAATTAAATTCCATTAGCGTTTTTCTCCTTGATATCAGCATTATATCTAAGTTGGCAACACTGCGGTATCCAGTGTAAAAGAAAAGCCCTCGATTGTGCCACTTCAAATAAGAAAAGCTTAAGTTAACCAGCGTACATTTGGTGGAATGCAGCACAGAACTGTTTTCATCATGATCATTATCTTTAAAGTCCTTCACAGGTCTGCTGCTGAACACAGGATTCCCATAGATTGTCACAAAATACAGTCCTCAGCCACCCGCATCCATCGATTGCTTACGTTCTTTATCAGGTCGTCACTCAATCTTGTGGGGGATCAAACAACACTGCACTTACCACTACGAGGCTACTACTCGAGAACCTTTCTTCTCCACGCGCTATCGGTTCTTCGAGCTGTATGGCCCATTCCCACTTCAGCTTAGCAATCCGCTCGACTTTTGGGGGAAATCGTTAAGCACTATATCAGAAAACTAAACAGTTATTTATTATTAATACGTCTGATTTTTCAGAAAGTAATTCTTGGATACGACTGTCTGAAATCGCCACAGATTGACATGATGGTGATGAGGGCGTTGGGATTCCCATTCGAGCACAACCGCTCCATTAGAGAAATGTATATCGACGTGCAGTTTCAGAACATCGAAACAGGTTTGTTTAGAATAAAATTAGTTCACAGCATTTTATTTAAATGGCATTCCTTGGAGGAGGTCTGTGTTCAGCAGTGAACCTGTGATGGACTTTAATGATGATTGACTGTGATCATGGTGATGATTTTATATATTTAATTTGTAAAAAATCCTTTCCGTTGCGTGAGGGTGAGGGTGAGGGTGCTATTCTTTTTTTTATAGAGATTTGTTATATTATGATTCTGTTTATTTTATTCTTTTCAGAGAGTAAATAATAAGAAAACCTCAACAAAAATATAATATTAAAGTACGTGAGGGTAATATGATCGCCTTAAGCTTTGCCGCCCTATATAAAACTAGTTGGGGGTAGAGAAAAAAACACAAAGTCGTACGTTATAACTATATTATTAAGAAAAAAAAAGCAAACAAACTTTGGCAATAATTAGAAACATTTCGAAAAATTTAATAAAAAATAACTGCTATACACAATACAAAAATCGATTGAAATATATTTACTATTTGGGTGCGTTTGGCAGAAAAAAGCGCTAGCAAGCGCTTACTAGCGCTAAAATAGTTTTCGGCCAGGACACGATTGCTACTTCAGTAGCGCTGACACAATCCGCCATTTTGCTTATTTAATTTGTTTGTTTTGAAGTAGAGTTTATAAGTTGTTTTTTGCAATATTAGTTTTAAGTAATATAATGACATGAATAAACATATACATGTTATTAAAAATTCATGATTGGTAAGTTTTCAATATGAATACATCACAAACATATATTTAAATTAGGTTAGGTTCCCCGGTTAAAACTAACATTGTGTCCGAGAGGAAAATAGCTACTTACGATTTGATAGCGCTTACCGCTTACGATCGCCATTTTGCTTACAAGCGCTTGCTAGCGCTTTTTTCTGCCAAACGCACCCATTATGTCGACTGTCAAAATGGCATCGATAAAGCAGCTGTTTCAGCTGTACTATCTATATGATTGACTGATGAAGAGTTATTTTATTACAGAGCCACCTATGCGAACAAGGCTGTAGATTTTGAGTTATAAAAAAGTTACCGTATTAACTGGATGACGATATTATGATATTTTACCCTCACCTACTATTTTAATGTCATTCATTACGGTACATCATCGATCAGCCCAGGCTTCGCTCTGATGGGAATAGCATCTATTAGTGTGGCGTTATTTAGATTAAATATATAATTAAATATAATTTATTTTATCGACTTTTTTAAATGTTTTCGGATAAAATATAGCCTAGATTCTTCCTGGCGCTGCTATTTATATGTATTATAGTAAAGTTTCTTCACTATCGTCGGTTCAGTCATTCCGAAAATTTGGTTGGCTATAGACGTCCGATACTCGATATTAATAATGTTTTTAGTTTAGGAGGCTTTTTAGGCATTACACTGTTTTAGATTTCGAAATGCATTTTTAATCAATTACGATAAAAGTAAAGTAAAGTAAAGTATAGTTAGAGCCTATATACATCCCACTGCCGGGCACAGGCCTCCCCTCATTTCAACTTCACATCTCTTCGAAATTTTATTTCCTGATTCCTCAGACATGCAGGTTTCCTCACGATGTTTTCCTTCACCGCCGATCTTGTGGTAAATCAGCACTTAATATTGCAATTAACAATTTCATTGGTGCCGGCGGGGATCGAACCCGGGTTAATCGCGTTCTGTTATATTTATAGCGAGCGTTAACCATCTGAGCTACCACGGCTCTCAATTACAATAGCAATAAATTTCTATTCCTATTATTTATCGTATATAATAGAAAATTAACATCTAAACGAAGGAAAATACTTAACTTTCTTTTTTGAAGTTTCGTAATCGGATAAAAAATAGCCTATAAATTGCCCAGGATTACTAACTACCTACATAGAAAATTTCATGGATATCGGTCCAGAAGTTTCTGCATGAATCTAGAATACACAAACAGACAGACAGATAGACAGACAAAAATTCTAAAAACCACTAATTTGCCTTCCGTGCTTTTTGCTTTGTCCCATGGACTTGCTTTTTTTTTTCAAAAATATATTAGAATTACAGACACGACTTTCTACAGATACATTATATGTATAGATAGGATCTCAAGCAAATGTTTGCACCTAGTCATTTTCTCTATTGAAATCTGAATATTTTTTATTTATTTCAAAGCCTCGGGAATAACCCTCGTTAATCTTGAGATTAAAGAGGGTTATTCCCCCCACTAGATGGAGTGACGACCTGGTAAGATATGCAGGAAGTCGATGGAACGTTGATTGTCGTCTTCACGCACTGACGTACGTGCAGGTATCGGGCCTCGGGGTGACCCCCATTGCCCGGGTGTCCTCATGTCCCATTATTATGGGACAGTCCTTGTTGCCTATTCTAGGCTAGATAGCATACCGGTTTTTTCCGTATTAGAGAATTATATTTTTTCCGTAGTTAACCAACTACGGAAAAAGGTGGTTATCTGATTGAGTCTAGGTTGGCCTTTCAGCGGCATTGAGGGTTGTTACTCAACTCTCTAATCACATATAGAGAGGAGTTCTCTTGGAAGAGGTCGCCCGTCCGGTGGCCGGGTATGCAACGGCGCAAAGCCGTTGAGATGTTCATGTGGCCCGTTATCGGCACGGTCAAACATGCCGCGCGCTAACCGGGCCACGAAGTCGATGATGTTCTCGATCTTCAAGTCCGCCGCTATCACGTCGTTCCGGACGTAGCGACCTGCTCCGACGATCGTCCTTAATGTCAGATTCTGCTGGGCCTGTAGTCGCCGCCTCAGAGGGTCGCTCAGAAGTGCGTACCAGGCCGGTGCAGCATAGGTGATGATAGTCCGGATATACATCTTGTATATCCGGAGCTTAGTTCTTATAGGCAGCTTGGATGCCAGGACCGGCAAGAGCGTCGCCCGCGCACAACGGGCCCGGCGGACGACGAAGTCGACGTGCGCGGTCATGCGCAGCGTCCTGTCGATCCTGCACCCAAGGTAGGTTACAGCCTTCTGGTACGCAATCTCCTGGCCGTTGAGGGTCAGCGGAGGTGGTAAATTCCTGAGACGGCGAGTGAGCAGAGCGGTCGTCTTACCAACGTTGACGACCATCCTCCACTCATCCAGCCATGGTGGCAGCAGGTCCAGCAGACGCTGCATCTTGGCAGTGGCTATGTGGGCTCTTCTGGACGAGGTGAAATAGGCGCTATCGTCCGCAAATAGCGCCAGCTCAACGTCGTCCTCCCACTCTTGAAGCCTGCCTGCCAGTGTAGGTATATCGTTGGTGTAAGCCGCGTACAGGACTGGAGACAAACAGCTGCCCTGTGGAACGCCGGCTTTGATAGATCTTGTTGCGGATACGGCGTCCTCTACGCAGACGTAGAACTTCCTATCTTCCAGGAAAGACGCTATTAGCCGCAATATAGCAGGGGGGACACTGGTCTGTTGTTCCAGCTTGTATAATAATCCTGCGTGCCACACCCGGTCGAACGCCTTCTCGATATCGAGAAAGACGCCCAACGATATGCGGCCACGATTGTACTCTGCCGCAAGCAGGTGCAGCACTCTGGTCAGTTGTGTGACTATGGAGTGACCCCTCCTGAATCCGTGCTGCTCCGCCCGAAGTTGGATGCACGGACGGAGACGTCTTAGCAGCAATCTTTCGAACAGTTTAGCTATATGTGGTAATAGCGTGATCGGCCTGTAGTTGGCAGCTCTACGCCTGTCCTTCCCGGGTTTCGGCAAGACGATGATTTTGCCTTTCTTCCAGTCCTCCGGGAAGTGGGATGTCCGCAATATCCCATTGTAGAGTCGACCAAGCTCTACTATGACTCTATTGGGCAACTGTCTGAGTGCAGCGTTGGTAATCCCGTCGTGCCCCGGCGCCTTCCTCGGTTGCAGGCAGGTTACTGTCCTCCGCAATTCTGCGGGGGGAGATGAACCAATCTCCTGCAAGAGGTGGCGCGGGCGACTTTCCTTCCGGGCATGAAGCTCCATGAACTCCGCACTTGCTGTGTTCGGCATAAATTGCTCCTCGAAGTGCTCGACTAGGATATCCGCTCTGCCCTTGGCATCATAGCATCGTTTGCCCGTATTATCCGTCAGCGGGCAAACGGGAGGTTTAGATTTGGTCAGCTGTCGGTTTAGTCTATAAAGCGACGCATCTTGTTCCTCCGCCTTCTGGATGCGCCGATCCCAGGCTTCACCTCTGAAGGCCTGGACTGAAACCGACAGTTCCTCCGTTAGGGTGTTCAGCTGTGTTTTGATCCTGGGGCAGCGAGTACGCGCCCAGAGCTTTCTCAGCGCTCTTTTGCGCTTGATCTGCACGCATATCTCACGCGGCAGATCGTCTCGCCTTGCTGTAATCGGGACGACCGTAGAAGCCGCGTGGAGGGCTTCCTTGATGTTATTGGTGATTCTAGTCGCAGCGGCCTCTACGTCGTCCGCTGTGCATATAGGTTGGTGTGCTGGAGGTCTCTGCTGAAGGTGTTGACAGTAGAGCCTCCAGTCGACACGGGTTTTAAAAGCTCTAGGCGGCGTAGTCACTGCCTTTAGGCCAAGGGTTATCAGTAACGGGAGGTGCTGTGAAGGGAGGTCATACAGCACTTCTACCACTATCGGATAGTTGACGTTCCTAGTGAGCACGATGTCTAACACATCCGGGTGCCTCCTTGGGTCGGTAGGAACGTGCGTTGGTTCCTCGGGACCTAGAACGTCATACTGGTTCTTCTCAGCGTCTTCATATAGCTCACGACCCGGCGGGGTGATCACTCTGGACCCCCACGCCGGGTGTTTTGCGTTCAGGTCCCCGGCGATGATTACAGGTGCATCGCCTTCCATTACCGTCCGGATGTCTGAGGAGCAGAATGGAGTCCCTGGTGGGCGGTATGCTGCGTATATCCTTAGTTCCTCGCCCGCCGCCTCCATTCTTATGCCGATTGAGCGCATTGTCTGGAAGGATGGTAGATCCAGCTCTTAGTGGGCGATGTCCCTCCTCACTAGAACCGCCGTCCCTCTATAGGCGGCCCCTCGAGAAGTGACCTCGTCCCTTCTATAAATATGGTAATTTGGCAGCTTTATGCGCGTTTTAGGATTCAGTATTGTTTCGCCCAGCAGTATAATATGTATGTCCTGTTGCTGGGCGACAGTGCGGAGTTCTTGCAGCTTCTGCTGAATTCCGTCCGGGTTCCAGTACATTAGGCGCAGGTTATTGTCCTCCATAATGTCTGGCCAGGAGGTTTGCCAGCGCCTTCATGATCGCTGTTATTGGATCAGTCCCGGCTCTGATGTCGGCCAGGACTTGTGTGCCGACCTCGATGGCAATTCCAACTAGGCGTTGGATTGCATCGGCTGTTTCGAGGCCGGTCGTCGGTGGTCTCCTATCTGAAGGCGTTGGTGCTGGTCTCGGGCGTTGGACTTCTTGTTTTTGAGTAGAGCGCGCTCTGTGTATAGCTCGGGCTCTCTCCTCCAGTGGAGCCCTCTCCTGCACTCTACCCACGCCCTTTTTGGTGGTCTCCTTTATAACCTGTGCCTGAGGCGGTGTTGGTCCTGGTGTCGGGGTAGAGGTAACAGCCCGAGGAGGCTGCGACTTCTTCCTGCTTCTCTCCCGCCTCCTCTTTTTTGAGGGCTGCCGTTCTGTGGCAGGATTGGCGGGAGGTTGCAGAGTCGCCCCGGTGGTTGCCCTTTCCTGTTCGGGTTCCACCGTTTCTGTGCGTGAACGGGGGGGGGGGGGCTGGTTGTCTGCCCTTCCCCGTAACAGTAGCCCACCCGTCATTTTGGATGGTGATGGCTTTAGGGCGACTCTGGGGGATCCTTTTCGGGTCCTCCGGGAGTAGCCCCGGTAAGGTTATCCCCTGTCTCCGTGCAGTCCTCCTCAGGACTGGGCAACGACGGTCATTGGCAGTATGATTTTTGCCACAATTGGCACATGTGGGTTCCTCCTCTCTACCCCGAGGGCAAAGGCTCGCTATATGCTCCCCGGCGCAGCGTACACACTTCACCGGCCTGAAGCAGTTTGCTGAGGCGTGTCCAAAGGCCTGGCAGCGGTGGCATTGTGCCGGTCCGGCTTTCCTTTGCCAGGCCTCAATAACTACTCCTCTCATGAAGAGTAGTTCGTCAACTTCATAGAGTCTTTTGAGCTGCTCCAGGCTCAGGTGGTCAAATTGGGCAAAGTATACGCATCCTGGTCTGCCCCTTCTCGGCGGGATTGCTTTGACATATTTGACCGGGAAGCCCTTTGCCTTTATGGCCTCCTCGATGGTACTGGTGTCGGTTCCCATTGGTAGGCCCCGGATGCCCACTTTGGTGGGCTTGTCTTCATCCGGGGTATAACAGTACCACGACATGTTGGGTGTTGCCTTGGAAAGTTCAACCATGTAGCGTTGAACAGTCCTAAATTCTGTGGCGCTTTGCGGTGTGAACCGAACCCCCTTCCCGAACGGACGGGCATTCAACGGGTGGCCTAACATTCTATTAAGCTCCTTGAAATGCCTCGTCCAGTCCGGGAGGCTTTCCGCCACTATGGGCGGGTATCTGGTCTTCTCCTCCTGGTCGGCAGGCTTGTCAGAAGTCGCTGCCGCCGGTTTGGGTCGTGGCACTGCTGGCGCAGCTACCATATGGGCGTAGCTAGTAGATGGCCGTTGGCCATCATCCAGCGGACGCCCGGACGGATTTTCGGTAGTCTTCTTTGGCGACGTGGACGGCGAGTGTCCAGTTGATGTATTTGGGGCTAAGGTCGCATATGTTGTGGCACTCCAACCATATGACCCTTCTCCTCCCTGCTCTAGATCTACAGCTTCCATGCTGGAGTGGTGTTCCTCTGATCTAGGGGGAGTGGGCTTAGTCGGCGATGGCGACTTCGGTGGCGATCTCCTTATCGGTCTTTGGATTAGCTCCTCCTCGGATGATGAGTAGTCCGAGGAGTTGGAGGATCCTAGGCATTTCCTCTTTTCCTGCAATGATGCTGCAGTCTCAGGCGGAGTGTGCCTTCTCCAAGACTTTTAAGAAGGTTCCCCAACAGCAGCCCGCTGCTGTTGGGGAACCGGTTCCAGCCCAGTCGTACCTTCAGGTACGATGGGCGAGAGCGCGGTTCTCGGTGCGGGTCCTTTCCCTGGAGATAGGGGCTTCCTAGTAGGGATCTGCGAGTAGGAAGACACTACTCGAGTCCTTTCTGGGTTGAAGATGTCCCGGTATGCTATCGGTCGCTCCAGAACACTAGTTCGGTCCGGTGGTTTTCTGGATCTCGGTGGTGGCTCCCCCTTGTCGTTGTCCTTATCGGACATGGTGAACCTACCTAAGAGTCAGTAGTCTACTAATGGCCCTGTCTATATCCAGCCGATCGGCTGTAATGCGCGACGCGGATGGAGGTAGCAACTACGTTGGCGTAATCTCTTGGGGCACTGCCTACTCCTTTTACCACAAAAGGATTGGGGGAAGTGCAACGGTGGCACTTTAGTACGCGACTAGGCACAGGACGCACGGAGCGCATAAAGTGCCAAGAATCACCTAGGGGCCGGTGACCTCGACGCCTCACGGAATCACGGGACTCAACGATCGGCGGACTTTGTCGAACCGGCGGTTATTTGCAGCCACTGCTAACTACAGATAACGCACACCTAGGAGATCCTTATGCTAAGACATGCAGGTGGCTCAGGACCGTGCTTTGTGGCATTACTTGGGGGAGGCCTATGTTCAGCAGTGGACTTGTGAAGGGCTGTGATGATGATGATGATGATGAATCTTGAGATTAGTAACACTAATAAAAGCGAGTTCATGGTGTTTAGAGCCGTCGGCTGTAGAAGCCCAGAAAAAGTGCCTACTATTAAATTGAATGGCACTGATTTAAAACGAGTAAGTAAATTTAATTACCTAGGGCATTTTGTTACCGATGACCTAAACGCCAATGTCGACATTGAAAGGGAACGTAGGGCGTTGGCAGTCCGATGTAATATGTTGGCACGTAGGTTTGCCCGGTGTAGTGAACAAGTAAAGATAACTTTATTTAAAGCCTACTGTCAAATTTTCTACACATGCAGTCTGTGGTCGACTTATTCACAGCGGGCTGTCGATGCCTTACGCGTCTAGTACAATAACGGCTTCACGGTCTTGTTGGGGCTACTCCGATTTTGCAGTGCATCATTTTTCAGGCATATTTGCAAAGGTACATACGGATATCTACTACGCCGTTATAAGAAAGAAAATAGCCTCGTTGCTCGGTAGGGTGCGGGCTAGCTCCAAATCTATCATGAAAATAATTGCTGATAGATATGACTCGTTTATTTTTAAGCAATATTATCGCCTCTGTTTAGTTGATAAGGCACTTGTATTTAAAAATTAGATTTAGGTACTAACATAAATTATAAGTTTCATATTTACTAACATATTAATTATATGGATTATTTGAATATCTGAATTAAAAACTATAATTTTTTTTATCGGTGTTCTTTTACACTAAATTCAACTCTGGGCAACCAAGATCTAATCAAATTCGTTACATAACATATTAACACTATTTTAAAATCTTATAATTATTACAATGTGATACAATAAATGTTACAAATAAATTTACATAACATCATAATATTTGATTAAAACTTATTAAATAAACCATGTAATTACATTGAGTAAACTACGAGTATATCATTCATTACTTGCTTTACAATCCACTCTATGATTATTATTTATTGCAACAACTTACACGAAGTCTTATCAATTAATTATCAAGAAGATTACATACAAGGTGATAAATAAATTCCAAACTTCAACAATAACAATTGTAATCATGCACTTAATTAACACTTTACCAAGTCCAGTTGCCTTTCGCTTATCGTGAAAACATGTATCTTTTGAACGAGCAACAATTTAAATTGTACGAAAATATTTTTATTGAGACTAATATTCTATCGCCGGATTACGATGGAGTTATACTTGTACTGTACCCGGACGAGATGAAAGTAAAGCTTCCGAGACATATCGGGAGTTTTGTTGAAGGTATATCCAAGCTTGATAAGCACATACACAAAGTTGCTACGGTATGGCATTGCGACTACGTTTCGGGTGGAAGAATAATTTTGGCACCGACTGGCGATATCACACCCTATCACGACGCGAAAGTCATTAAGGATGCTGTGAAGAAAGGCATGATACGAGCAATGGATGCGGGGGTTAAAAAACCATTGCTAATCGTGCAGGATGTCGTCAATTTCCCGGATGGACAACTTGTTGAGATTCTTAGTGCTTTAGAATCTCTTTACGCGCCTCTGCAGATGAGGGAACGCAACAATTTGAGAAGTTTCATACGTCTGGGTTTGCACTCGGAAGAGAAAAGGACTGAGGACTTTGAAAGGATCATTAGAAACGCTATCGCATTGGAGAGGGCGAGAATCTTTGCTAGGGATATCGCTGGCGGTGATCCCGAAAGAATGTCACCGGCAAAAATCGTTGAATACGTTAAGAATTCATTCGCTGGAATCACTAATATCACAATCAAAGTTATAGATGATGAGTCCGTTATTGCAGAGGAATATCCCCTTTTAGCTGCAGTATCAAGAGCTGCGAATCGCGTGGAGAGACACAAAGCTAGAGTTGTAGAATTGGAATACAAACCTTCGGATTTAAATAGAGTCACTGAGACGCTCATGTTGGTTGGGAAGGGTGTCACTTACGACACTGGTGGTGCTGACGTCAAAATTTCTGGCAAAATGGCCGGCATGTCGAGAGACAAAAGTGGAGCCGCGGCTGTGGCCGGGTTTCTCAAAGCCTGTTCTCTACTCAAACCACCTCATTTAAAAGTTGTCGGGGTGCTGTGTCTTTGTAGAAACTCCATTGGAGAGGATTCTTATGTATCTGATGAACTATTGATTTCTAGAAGTGGTAAAACTGTTAGAGTGACGAATACAGATGCTGAGGGTCGCCTAGCGATGGCTGATTCACTTTTTAAGTTATCAGAAATAGCTGGCAAGGAGTTGAATCCACATATTTACACGGTGGCCACTTTAACTGGTCATGCGAGGGCTTGTTATGGGAATTACGTTGCCGCTATGGACAATCACAGCGCTCGAGCTACCAACCATTCCAGCAGACTTCAGGTCAATGGTGGCCGAATGGCCGAAGGTATAGAAGTGTCCATAATTAGACCGGAGGATCTAGCAGTGAATTTGGGCAAATGTAAAGGTGATGATTTAGTTCAGTATGACACGGACGCAAAAGCTCGCAACCATCAGTTAGCAGCTGGATTTCTGATCAAGGTTGGAGGTCTAGAGGGGAAGAATATAAAGTATACGCATCTGGACATCGCGGGAGCCGCTGGAGCGCCACCAGAGGAGCCTTCCGCTGTGCCAATTCTTACATTGTGTTACACCCATAAAGTTTTGTTGTAATTCGAGATACTTATCTTAATACTGGTTTGGTTTTGTATTAAATTACATCTATTACTATCGTTTTTAACTAATATTTTAATTTTAATCGATATTAAACTTGTCTAAATTACAATAAATTAACTATTTGCTTTTATATTTGTTTATATTTCTTTTATTTAAAAATTATTTTTAGCAGTGGCTTATTTTCCTAAAAAAGCATTTTTTTAAGAAAGTATAATTGACTTTAAAAACAAAAAAAAGGTAATTACACAAAAAGTTTCTGAATTTAATGCTAAGAAGAAATAGTGTATCGAAGAATTAAATTTAGAAGCTGTTATGTGGAAGTCATATGGTTTTACGTTTTACTTTACTAAAGAAAATCACAAGTTCACGATACCAACTAATAATGACGCAAACTACCAACTAGAACTTTTTAATATAATAAGTGTAGCCTTTAATATAAAATCATGCCCTATTTTTTTTGCACCCTTATGTTTTTTCTTACAATTTATATAGGACTACCGCCGACCCACTATTTAATAAAAAGGAATCGTAAAGATCGATTTACAGTTGATAAACACATCGTGTTAAATATATATTGCATAATTATATACGAAAAGTAGCATACATTCGAATTGATAACCTTCTCTTTTTTGCAGTCGCCTATACACGATAAGTTAATTACATCCAAAATTAGATAAACAATTATTATATCTAAATTCATGATCAGATTGAAAGTTCACTGGGGACATCCTATTTTTATGCTGGTGACTCAGGCAAGTGAAGGTGTCATTGGAATAAAAGTTTTTATAGTTTTATATTGATTACTTACCTTGCATATGAAGTGATAACCTCGATAGTATAATATTATTTTCTTATATTATATAATACATTGATTTACATGATAATAGTAATAATGTCCTCCAGACCGAATTTCGGTCACGGCGGCCTGCCTCAACGGAGGCTAGCCATCGGCACAGGACAGGGTTATAGTGCCCAAGTGTATGCGCAAGCACAGGTGCACTCTCTATTCCCTCACTTTCGTAATCCGATGGGACGGTAAACCGACACGACCGGGAGAGAGATCAGGCGCAGGACCAACGGCTTTACGTGCTTTCCGAGACACGGGGGTGAGACACCGCCGACTTCCTGACTCCGAGCAGCTACTGAGAATTTCTTGACAGAAAAACTCAATAATTGATTTTTGTCCCGACCCGGGATTCGAACCCAGGACCTCATGATGAGCAGTCGCACTACTACAACCACTAGACCAACGAGGCAGTCAAGTGATTTACATATTAAAACTAAATCACAATAAAACGTAATGTACTAAATTTATAACTCTGAATAGTCGAAAAGCATAAATGACCACACGTGGTAGAGCCACGCTGCAGCTATATTACGGTTGCAGCACGAATGGGTCGGCTCGATCGAGGTAGGACCACGCTCTCACAGAATATCAGCGTAAAATAGCAGCTTAATACTGATGTGTTTCGTATGGTGAGGGTAGAGATCCGGAGACCTTTTTTTACTGGATCGAGGTATTGCATCTTAGGCCTCTGCCTCGAATCTTGCGGGCAGCGGGACGGCAGCGGCGGCGGCGCGGGAGCGGCAGGATCTTATGCGTAAAATCAAATGGACCGACTCTCGAAAACAGCGGCTTGGCAGCGGCGCGGGGGCGGATAACGAGCGGTGTACTCCAGTCAAGCGGTGACCGCCCGCGCGTCTGTCTGCATTGCAGTGTTGTGCAATTAATTTTTGTGACGTTTCGAAATGTCCTCGGACGTGCAAGAGCAAATTATTTCAGCAATTTTTGAGAGAACACCGATATGGAACAGCAAAGATGTGAACCATAAAAATAGAAGAGTAATTAACCAGTTATGGGAAGAAATTAAAAACGAACTGAATCTAAATCGCCCTTGATAGCTTCAAGAATATAGTCAAAAGTTTCTACGCTCATTCTGGTGTAGTCGTAGAATTTGTCAGGACATTGTCTCTGTTCTTCGTAATTTCGATAAAACTCGGCTTTTTTTCCTTGCCCTATAAGTAGTAGGGATTCACTTCTTCTTTTGCCCACAGTAAATTGAGCGTTAGAAATAAATTTGAATCAAAAAGATGTTGTCGCCGTTGTTCAGACAACACACCATGAACACATCACTACGCCGCTATAGTGTCGCGCGATCTGCCCGCTAGTTTCGTGAACGGGTCTGCGTTGCCCGCCCCGCTCCCGCGCCGCCGTCGCCGTCGCTCCGCTGCCCTCAAGATTCGAGGCAGAGGCCTTAGTCCTCACGGGTGACAACGCATCTGAGTTTTGATCCTTCATCGAGAATAAATGTAGATATCTATGGGCCACAGCATCCACTTACCATCAAGTGGACTCTGTGCTCGTTTGTCACCCTTATTGTATAAAAAATTACCCTGCAACTTGTGTTACTTGTAAATGTAATCTAAGTATATTAAATAAAAAACCAACCGTATTTTTCGAAAAATTCATTCCGCAAAGAGAGTGGAGAGTTCCGAAGCTTCAGAAATCCAATTAAAAATTGGATCGTACATCCAACCTTTGTGAATACGGCGTAATTATAATTCCGTTTTAAATTCGGTTTATTACGACTAAAAGCAATATTAATAAAAATAAAAAAACACTAATTAATTGCTTATTGAAGTTAAACTTCTTTAACCGCGTTGAGCGATTTTTGGTAGGGAAATACTAATTATGGGTTCGTGTTACCGATGACCTTGACATTATCTTGACGCTGTGCGTGAGTATGATTAGCGACGCGTAGTATAGCTACGTAGTACTATTATTTTATTCTGTAGTATAGCGGGTTGTGTACAATGTACATGTATCTGCATATTTGAGTTTGGTTGAATACTCAAAGGTATATCAATGAGTTTTCACTTCTGTCGGCTGCCTTTGTTTTTTTTATTAATATTGGTTTAAACTATTATATGAACCCGAACGCATCCATCACAAGCTTTATCTTTTTACTATCGGTTCATTCCTGTTCAACAATGTAGTGCAATATTGTGTATGAAGTACAAATTAAACTTCAGCTTACTATATAAAGTCCCTCATAACGAGTTTATATTTCTGGCTGGTTGGCTTACAGGCGCTTTGGAACTATACACTCAAGACGCGAAGCTTCCTCCAGAGCTGCACGCCCTGCCCTATGACGTCAATAGCGTGATGCACTTTGGTGACCGAGATTTCAGCAAAAACGGTCACAGGACTATTTTATTTAAGGCAAGTTTTCTTAAGTTTGATAATAATTATAAACCAGTTTCGACAAGAACGTTAATTAACGATTTAAAATTGTGGTAAGTATTGTGTTAACCATAGAATACTATAATACATACATAATAGAACGAGGGAGTGGGCGGAGCCCCCGTAGTCACTAAAATGTCACTTACACGTCAATTCACACGTACAAATGTCAACACGAGATGTGTTTTGATGTTACACTCGTTTCCAAATTTCGCATGCAAATAATTTAAAAAATGCCAAATTGCACCTTATTGACAAATAAATTTGTACTAAAATTGAAACGATTTTCTTAATGATGATCTTGAACATTAATCAAAAGTGGCGACGCCAATCCTCGTACAAAATAAAGTATACAGCCATTCTATTGCGTATTATAGTATTCTATGGTGTTACCTGTGTTGGGCTCGTTATTTTCGTTGCCACTACAAGCAAAGAAGCGCTATTAATTTCTTTGGTATCCGAATCCAATGAATAGTATATATATATTTATTATATATATATTCAATAAATAACATTATTCACCTATCCACCCGTTATTAATAACAACCTGCCTACCTAACTAACCTGCAGACCAAATTTAGGTCACGGAGGCCAGTCTTTTTTTATAGTATAAGGGTGACAAACGAGCACACAGTCCACCTGATGGTAAGTGGATGCTGTGGCCCATAGACGTTTACATTTAACCTCGTTTAAAAATCAAAATGCAGATGCGTTGTCACTCTTGAGGACTAAAATGGAATGCCTCGATTCCAGTAAAACGGGTATCCGGTTCTCTACACTCACCAAACGAAACACAGAAGCATTAAGCTGCTATTTTACGCTGGTATTCTGTGAGAGCGTGGTCCTTCCCCGGTCGAGCTGACCCATTAATGTTACAACCATAATAGCTGCAGTGTGGCTCTACCACGTATAATCTCCATGGATCCTCAACGGAGACTAGGCATTTGCGCAGGACAGTATTATAGCGTCCGAAATGCGATAGCACAAATCTCTATATACTTCCTCTCATAGTCCGGTGAGACGGCAATCCACTTGCGGAGAGAGCTCAGATTTTAGATCAGGCGCAAAAATAACGGCTTTACGACTTTTAGATGCATGAGGGTGAAATACCGCCAACTTTCTGACTAGGAGTTTCTACTGAAAAATTTTTTACCGAAAAACCAAATAATTTATTTTACCTCATGATCAGTAACAACGTTAACGACTACTATAGCACGAAGCGGTCACCCACCCAATACAGTCTATAAAAGTCCACTGCTAGATTTAGGCCTTCTTCATTCATATATTGCTTCCGCAGGAAGATGCTGCCCTCCCCCACTTACAGCATTATGAACTTCAAGATGCTAATAAATCATTTGCTCAAACAAAGCTAAACTGTTTACTACATCCCTACTTATCTTTTTTAATTTTTTTTTAATTTATTTTATGTACACACATCAAGATACAGAAGCAATCTTATAGTAATTTCGTACAAAGGTTCTACTTATTCCATAATTAGCTGAAATATCTTCCAGTAGACCCATAAAGGAAATTATATTGAAATTGCAAACTTAGTACATACATTAGTACTACTAAAAAATAAATATTATACACAATGTTACGTAAATTATATAAAATAAAACAACAAATAAAAATAAAATAAATCAATACGTGATAATAATAATAAATACGATAGTGACATATGATATATATAAACTAAACTAATATAATAGAATATTATATATTAATTAACAGGATGCAAAGTAGTTATCTCTAAGACGTTTCTTGAATACCAATAAAGTATCGGAATTTCTTATATTTGACGGTAGTGAGTTCCATAACCTTACCGCCTGAACTGAAAAGGAGTGGGAGTAAAAACCGGAATTATAGACGGGAAAGTCATGAAGAGTTTTAACGAGAGATCTGCATGGTTTGTCCGGAGGATGGGTAAAGGAAAATCGGCTTCTGAGGTATGTGGGAGAGGAAGGGTTGTGCAAAATGTTATAGAGGAGATACCATAACAATCGAGTGTTCCTTCGAAGTCGAATTGGGAGCCACTTTCTTGGGAGTTGCTTACGAAACTGAGATATACGGTCAAATTTCTTGAGCCCAAATATAAAATGGATACACTGATTTTGCAAGCGCTCAAGTTTATTAAGAAGCTCCTCTGTAGCATGCAAATAACAGGCATCCGTATAATCAAGGAGAGGTAGGATAAGAGTAAGCACGAGTGAAATTTTAGCTTTAAGGGGTAAGAAATTTTGTAGACATTTAAGCGAATGCAAAGTAAAGTTATCTTTCTGTAAGATTAGAGTAAGGCATAGCTTTACGGTACCTAAGGAAAAAATATTTTTGTAAAATGCTAAACTATAATTTGTATCTAACATTTTAGGACTACAACGTCCAGCAGAACCGGAAAGGTCTGTCTGATTTAGACTTACGAAAAATAGAAATTGTTTATGGGCCGGAATGTCAGAAGCGAGACCGCCAAGAGAAGATAAAACTCTGTCAGAACTACCCAGAAGTAGCCAGAAAGAAAAGAGATGCAGACTTTATAATTAATGGCTCAAGCTTACGCATCAACCGAGAAATAACAGCCCCACCTGAAAAAACCCTTACAAAAGATGAAACTAACACTCTACTCGAGTTAGGAATAGGGAAAGAAGTCAAAGAAATCATGGATAGAGTGTATAAAGTCTCTTCTATAGCTCTGATGAATACTAGAGCAAAATACTGCAATGATACAAAACCAAATCTGAGATCAAATACAAATTCGAATGAAAAAGTTGCCGACATGTTAGGAATAGTTAAAACTGTAACAAAATATGTTCAATCAATAGTCGACGATGCCATAAAGAATCAAAAAGAGTTTTGCGAAATGTACAAATCATTGGATCAATACCAACGTGACAGTTATAGAACAACTAGATCAGACAGAGTTCAACATCTCACTCAGTACAGACCGACGATCTTCCAGGGGACAAAACATCATAGTAAAGGAGTTAAAAATCAACATGACCGTATCGTTTATAGAACTGGTAACGACACAGATAAAGAAGTCACTAGGGCGAGAAGAAAGAGAGCTGTTGAATCAATTACAAAAGCAGTTGCATCAAAAGGTGAATCAGATATCACTTGGGTTAGGAGAAAAAGAGCAGTAAACTTTGCCTCAGAAATTGAAGGTATTAATACGAATGTTCAATCTGATGATATCAAAGTGAGAAATAAGAGATCTGCAGCTACAGAAGCAGTCACAAAAGTAATCGAACCAAAAGGTAGCACTGGAAATCAGAGTTTAAATAAGGAACAAAAACCAACAGAGAGCGTTAAATTAACTAATAAAGATTTAACGACTGCACCTAATTTGAACGAAAGAATCACCGTCGCAAAGACAAGTCCAAAAATAAATGACGGTAAAACTAATATGAAATCTCTGGGCAGAAGGCGTTTCCAAGATAGTCCTTTTAGGTAAGTAATGTAAATTACATTGATACTGAACCTTACAATAAACAAAACATAGTTTTTGAAATGAATGTATATTGTTCACTTCACGGCGTAATCTTGTTTCGCTTATCAGGAAAGGCTCAATAGCGCTGGGTTTTACTTAAATATTAGTTATAGTACACGACTTTGTGTTTCTGTCTCTATCCTCATCCTAGTTTTGGTTTCATAGGGTGGTAAGGCTTAAGGTGACCATATTACTCTCATGTACCTTGTAAGTACCTTGAGGGAGGCCTGTGTTTGCATATGGACTTATGAAGAGTAATGATGATTATGATGTTGACGATGATGATGATAATTACGATAATATACGTGTCATACTCTTTCTATTTCAGAGTCTACAATCGAAAGAAGAACAATGAAGAAAAAGACGAATCCGACTTATCACTGGAGGCAAAACAAGAAGCAATTATCGCTAAGCAAGTGAAACCGATAAAGAAAAATTATTTACCGCAGAATAAGAAAAAACCCATCAAGAATTGGTAATTCTACAAACATATCAATAAACATTTAAATCAATATCAGTGCATTTTTATTTAATCTGTGCCTTTTATATATAGCATTTTTCTTTTTTTTTTTTCAATAACTTATTAAAAAATACATACAATTTTCTGTTTTTATTTTTTTGTTAAAAATGTTCTGATGTTGATATAGCTAAGTTCATTTATTATGAAAGTTAAATAAACAAACTTTGCCAATTGATAGAAAAGGCACTAGAGATGATAAATGGTGAAAAATCCATGCAGAAACCAAAGACTTTTTAGGCCTATATTCACTTTGATTTGTGCGAGTGCATGTGATTAGTAATTACAGGTGATTAGTGCAGATGCGTAGTTTTAAGTACTGTACAATTCTGTTTAGTGGCTGTGTTTAGTAAATTCAGTTGTTAGCCATTGACCAGCAAGTACTCTCATTAACTTTCTTAACCTCTTGCGAATATGTACCTAGATCTCAAGTTTCTTATTTTAGTATAAACTCTACCTCTAAACTCCGGTATGCTCATAGCTTAACTTATACGTACAAAAGTCACATATAGGGCTCCTTTAATTTTGAGGTTAGGGTATTTACTATTATAAAGACCTTCATTTTTAAGATACTCTTGCACAAATTTATAGGTTAGGTCTTCGGTCCACTTTGCCACTTTTGCAACACAAACGGGCGTCCAACGCTAAACACTAAACACTGCTGTCCAGACGTGTTTAGTGGCAGACATGCTGCGAGTGAGGGGGAAGGGTGGACGCGCGGGACGTGCACTCGCGAAAAAGTAGAACACGCTTCTGATCACTTTACTACGCAGAATATTAATCTCTTGCTCTAATCAATCGCTGTCCACACATTTTTATTCCTAATCACAAACACCTATACTAATCACCTGCATTAATCACTAATCAAAGTGAATATAGGCCTTTAAATATACCACTAGGCAGGCTCTTGGTCCTTAATATATTGCGCACTAAAATACGGTCAATTCTCCATCACTCCATTAGTAAACTGCGAGTGGATGAAAATACTAGTTTTGTGTTCATAAACCGCGAACGTTGTTTTCAACAATCTTACACTGATTTTGTTTATTGTGTCTAAGAAAACGCTTTCATTATTTATGTGCACACTTTGTTAAGGCGATACCCCGACCAAAATCTTGCGAAAGTGCGTTTTTCAGAGACTATTATCTCATTAGTTATGAGATAATAGTCTCTGAAAAACGCATCTAAAAGCACATTATTAATGTTCGATATCCTATCATTAAATTCCACGTTCTAATTTATTTTTATGTGTTATAAATACATTTAAAATCAACTTTTAAAAATGACTAAAATTATTGATTACACGCATCTGTTGCTAAAGGCAACGCTCTAATCATTTGAGGATTACACTAATGGAGACATAATTTAAAAATCTATATTATTTAAGTTTAATTTCTTAAGTTCGCTTTTCTTTTTTAACTGAGATAGTTCCAAAATTATTTAGCAGAGCGCGTGGATTGTATAGGACAGAACGCTCAATGTCGTTCGCTAGGGGTAACGCCTTAAGGTGATTTAAAGTTTATTTCAGACAAGTATGTACTTTATTTCCCTAAAAACTGTGCCAGCAACTCGCGCACTCCCGCGCCCTCGCGTTCCACAGCTATAACACAGTTGTTCTGATTTTTTTTTATTAAAAAGAATATTAACAATGCTACAAACATTACTAATATTCCCCTTAATCACTCGTAGTAAGCTTAAATTGCTTGTGTTACGACTGGTTCACGACAGTAGTCGAATGGTGGATTCGAACCCACGACCTTTTTGAGTTCGCGGTTCGCGCCTTGCCATTAGGCTACTGTCGCTTCTATTTTTTGTCTATTAGCACGTACGTACGTACGTAGCAGAACTCCTTGGTTTGTTATAGGGGTGACCTCCTGTCCAATTGTCTTTCTTTCAACTTATTCACTCCACGTAGCTAGTAGGCATATCGATCTGATCGATTAATCGCAGAATCGATATCTTGTGCCATTCGATTTTAATCAATATATAGTACTGAATCGATATTTCACCCTTGACGCCTCGCGGTGGAGGATGCGATCCCCGGGCCGAGAAAATTGAGATCGAATCTTTTTCTGTTTTCATAAGAACTATAAAATTATTTATAATTAGTTGAATGTACCCAAACTCGTAAAGGACGACAGTTTTTCTATTCAAAAATTAGCAAAACTTCTGTGCTCAGTTTCTTTCGCCTCCTCTTAATGGAATAGAGAAATAAAACATAAGTTACGCTTGTAATCTGTACTTTGTATGAAAGCAAATCGAAAAAAGATAGATTTCTGAGAAACCTCGATTTATATAGACCTCGATTTTTTGTGAATCGATTCATCAGATTTCGACTCAAAGCGATTTAAAAATCGATCTTTTTCGAAAACAATTGACATCCCTAGTAGCTAGCCTTTCGGTATTCTATAGGATGCATTTCGGAGTGCGCAGGAATTACATGTCTTAATTCCTCCCTTCGCTTTCCACCAACGCATGAAGGACATCTGAACAACGAAAACAAGGCAGTCGGCGGGTTTCACCCCTTTTTGTAGATACTCCACGCATTCGAATCAAACGGTTTGCTTGCATTCGTAATGCGCACAGTAAATGTGTTTAAAAATATGCTGACGTCAGTCTAACCGTGCGATAACTATCTGGGCGGCTTCAGGCAAGAGTACATAGGTTTTTTACGCTATAACTATAGTTTGGAGACCTTAAAGACAGTGCGTTTTACCATCTAGGGCCTCATCACCAGACACCATTAGATGGGATTATAATCAAGGACTGCTTTATAAAAATTAAACCACCTGACAGCGTGGTTAGTAGGTTAGTGCCATCAAAGCCCAGATGGCGACTTCTTGACTAGACAACAGATTATATAAGCTATTGAATAAAAAAAGAAGATAATATATAATATTAAATGAAGAAGATTACCTCGAGACCAATATTTCGTATTCGCAATACATACTACATAGGCATTGCCTCTAACCTTATAAAAATATATATATATATATATATATATATATATATATACACAGTATACAGGTGTCCAGAAGTTTTACAACCCACCCCTTCTCTTTTTTTTTGCGCCCGAAGCAAATAAAGGGCTACCCTATACGTAGGGAGGCGGAAAATGCATTACGCATACCACGATAGCCGGTCTATCGTGGTTATGAGGGGATCCTACCGGGGAACCTAAGTGATACCCTCTAAAAACCGCCTTTAGGGACAGGCTACTGGCTGATAAAGCTTTATTGTGCCTTATCGTGAGCGACCCTCTTTTGGGAAAAGAGGGCGCAGGCAGCTACGAGCCGCTGAGGGAGTGCCTACGAAGGCAAATTAATTATGAATAAATAATTTAATTTAATTAGAGTTGGCCTGAGCCGCCAGGAGGCAGTTCCAGTCATTTGATAGTTTGTTAGGCGGGTCCGAGTGAGAGTTTCTCGGCCTGCGGACTCGATAGCGAGAGGGGGGTGGGGCTGCATAAGTAGCTGCCTCACGAATTAAATGGTTTGAGTGCGACTCTGAGGCTTTAAAGAAATTCTCAGAGAGTTTTTTGAGAAATTGTTGAATTGTGGGGAGCTCTAGGTCCCGATGAAGGTCGGCATTACGGACGTACCAAGGTGCGTTCGCAGCTCGACGACAGAAAAGGTTTTGAATTTACATATTATGTAAAAATTACCGTTTTATACAGGCCTTTGACTTTTATTACCGTCTGAAAAAATAGGGTGTAATACGTGAACGGAATAGAAGCCTATGGCACTGATATCTTACAACAAATATAAACAATACTTTTGAATTAAACGTTTGAAGAATTTTTTTTTGAAGAATTGCTTTGCCCCTTGCCCTTAAGACTGTGACCCTGCGAAATGACAGTCAAAGATGCCTACTAAATTTATTGTTTTATTGCCGTTCGTAAATTAGGGTGTATTTGGAATTGCGATAGATTTTAATTAATCAATTAATTCAATTTAAAATTTTTGTTTTTATTTTTTGCAAAATATCAGTGCGTATATATTTTTGCAAAATATCCAGACGGTAAGAAAGGTCATCTAGTAAAGGAAAACAGAAATGAATTTTTAACAAAAAAAAAATTAGTAGTCAAGTTATAGGTACAAATTCTTGTCATTTGTTAGCAGTTTGTTTGCTATAGAAGTCTGCTACACAAGAACCTATGAACTCTTTAAAGGTACTTTAGTGCTTCTACGGTATTCAAATTTTTGCCAAGCGTGGCTATCACCTATATCCCGTGGATATAGAAAGAGTAACAGCCTACCTACAAACTGCAATAATACCTCGACGTCCAGATCCTTTATTGCATTGTTGTTATAACAAAAAAAGTCTTAAAACAAAAAAATCAATTAAGTATCATAAATTTGCTAAAAAATGTGATAGGTAGACTCGAGCTCCGCGATCTTAGCACCTCATATACGAAATTTCGATTTACCAATTACGCCATCTGAAAGGTCAGAAAATGGTCACAAAGGTCAATCGGTTTGATTAATTTGTCAATGTTTTCAAATATTTCAAGTATGTATTTAAGTGTAAATTTTTTAATAATATTTTTTAAATTATTTACAATAGGGAATTAGAAAGAAAGAAATATTTATTGCAGCACGCCACAAACATCAGTAGGCACTTAAATTTGAACATTTATGGACAAATCATTTATAAACATTATAACAAACGAGAACAAAAATAGGAAACAACAATTTGACGGATAAAACAATTTAAAAGTATGTATGCTTATAGATTATGATAAAAAAAATAGAAAGACAAAAAAATCGTTTCTCATATTGTATTGTTGAGTATGTTGTGGCGCGTCATACAAATGGACCTCACTCAGCTAATGCTGTCGCCGGAGCAACAGCGCTGGTTTTCATTTTCAGTGGTGGGCCCGAACGGATAGTAACGTACGGACGTCCGCGCGTGACACATAATAATATTTTAAAACCATAGAATTATAAAATATCATGTCCTCACTTTGTTTGTTTTACAGTAGAGACTCGTAATTACGTTTACTATCCTGATATACATAGTTTGTGGTCCCAGCGCATGCGCACAACTGTCTATGCGACTTAATTTTTGTAAAATAAAATTAATCTGACCAATAATTTATTTTGGCTGACCAATTATCAGTAGATCATTCTCTATCGAACAAAGCCGTCATTTTTGGTATTTGTAAGAAATGAGGTGCTAAAATTATTAATTGACCTCGAAAAAGTTTGATGCTTAATAAAAAAATTTCTATCGCTGACCAATTAATGAAACCGATTGACCTTTTATGAGCATTTTCTCACCTTTCAGATGGTATATATATATATATATATATATATAATAACATATATATATATATATATATATATATATAATATATATATATATATATATATATATATATATATATATATATATATATATATATATATAATACTTGACATATTCTATGAGTGCCTCTCTTAATTAAAAATAATATATATTGAACTACTGTTAAAGTCTCACAGTATCTGAACTAAGTGAAGTTTCTGAATGAATTAAAGAAATATACTTTATTGTACACCAATATACAAAGGAATACAACAATTTACTTAAAGTTAATATTAATGCCTTATTGTTTAGAAGCGATCTCTACCAGGCAACCACATTACAAAGTGGTAATTTTGACAGTCTTCTCTTGATGTTAACGTAACTCTACCCAGAGAAATCTGAACAGACCGAAACAGGTGAAAATCTGAGGGTACAAGAACAGGACTATTTCTCTCTCAATGTTTGATGAGTGATCAAAGATGTGTGTGGTCTGGCGCTATCATGATGCAACTCCTTTTCTGTTGATAAATTCCAGACATTTTATCTCAATTTCTTGCTTGAGTCTCTTTACTTGTTGGTAGTAGAAATCCAAGCCCTTCCAGTCCCACCATCACAGCATCACGTTATTGCATATTTATCCGGGTTTCGCTACAGTCTGTGGGGCTTGACTACCCTTTGACCGTGATCTTTTTCGCACGTTCTTGTGGTAAGTGTTCCACTTTTCATCCCCAGCTCAGCATCATTGGCAAATATCGAGATTTTTTGTATAGCCATACTTTTTCAAATGGGTCAAAACTGTTTTGTGGTCAATACTCAATTCCTTGGCTATGTCAAAACTACTAATATGCCGATCTTGCTCTACTTTTTCGAAAATTACATTGACTATCCCTATGAGTGCGACCAGATTGAGCTACATCTTTGACATCAAAATTCCCGGACTGAAAACGCTTTAAACAACTTCTCTACCCTTATTGACACTGCATTAGGTCCATAAACGTCACAAATTTTTTTTCGCGGCTTGAGTCGCATTGTTCCATTTTTATTTGTAATAAAACTTCAGAATGTATTGAATTTCTTCGTTCGCAAAATGGCGGAATAGTGTTTTCTACTTTTTATTATTCTTGATACCCAATATGTTATTGTTACGTATTGATATTAAAACCAGCCAGATACAAACAGTACGATCAAAGAGATTTTTCTTCAATTTTATACAAACAAAATACGAAAACAAAATACGAAACTTTTTTCCCCGACCTATTAGGCTGTAATGAATAAAAAAATCTCAAATCAATACCTTTAAACGAGCAATTCTTGATATTATGTATATATATATATATATATATATATATATATATATAATATATATATAACGGATTCTTGTATATATATGAAACGGTTTCGGGGGCAATAAATCGATCTAGCTAGGATTCATTTTAGAAAATGTTGTTTTGTCCGAGTTTTCAGGCAATGATAAACTGCTACAATATAAGAAGGTAAATTTTGCCAGTGTGTTAATAATTATAATAGCTCAAATGGGATATCGGGAGGTCCTGAAATTGTAGTATCCTTGTTCGCGTCCTGTCATCGGTCCCACTTTTTTCCTTGTTTTTTCAAGTTCCCTTCTTTTATGAGAAAATGTATTATTTCGAGCCCTTTTCTAGTATTTTTAAAAAAACACGAAAATTTAAATTAAACTAATTGCATTCATGATTTTTCATTCAAATAACCAGTTCAGTTTTATCTATTACGTCGGTAAGATCAAAAAATATTATTCATATTTCATCAGTATGTAATTTGTATCTAAATATAATTTCCAAAACACACGATTTCCATTAAAAAAGAAATACCGAGCAAAGCTCGGTCATCCAGGTACTAGTTATTAAAGCCCATATGTATCTAATGATATCTATCAATATAGTATCTAATGATACCACTCGATTAAAGCTAAAAAATATTTTATTAACTTTTTATTTACATAACTTATTGAGAGATGTGAGTGCGTAAAAAATATGGATTTTTATATTTGAATTGTGACAATAATGTACATATTGCATTTGCTGCTATTTACCTACTTAACGCCTTAATTTTAATCCCATCATTAATTCCCAAAGATTTCTAAAAACATATGTGATGAATGATGATTCTTTTAAGTCGACTTTTATGGCCCTGAATAAGCCATGTAGCATGAAGAGACACCTAGGCAATAAGAGTGTAGACTTATTGCCGCTAAAACAGTTACCTCTTTGCATTTGGTTGACGACACCAACGGTAGGTACATAGTTTGATAGATATAGATAAAGATCGCTAGATAGATAAATATCGAAGATAAATATTTAAATTTTGCAATCAAATAAAAGATAGTACAATTGGTGGTTTTATTGCCAAAAGCGATTTCTTCCAGGCAAGAATGGCTACACACATAAATAGCATAACGCCTGTAATCCTCAAGGGTGTTGGTATAGTCCAAAGAGTAGCGAGGTACTCTTACGATGTTTAGCCAAAAAGGACCAACTATAAGAAAAGACAGAATGGTTTAGCGACAGAAGTCATACTAAGATAATACATATATAAGTAAAGTAAAGTAAAGTTACAGCCTATATACGTCCCACTGGGCACAGGCCTTCACTCATTTCTGAGATTGTTTTAGGGTAAAGAAGTGCCCCAATGCGAATTCGAAAATTGACGAAGTTCACATGTCTTCGAAAAATATTTTTTTTTTCTTATTCCTCAGACATGCAGGTTTCCTCACGATGTTTTCCTTCACCGCAGAGCACGTGGTAAATCAGCACTTAAAATTGCAATTAACAATTTCATTGGTGCCGGCGGGGATCGAAACCGGGTTACTCGCGTTCTTTTTATATTTACAGCGAACGTTAACCATCTGAGCTACCACGGCTCTTGCATGCATATATATAGCATAATGTATTACAGTTAAACCTGGTTGAGTGGTTAAGTGGGCCCTGTAATGTTGTCTTATTTACAATAATTTTTTTTATAGGATAGTGTGACAAACGAGCACACAGTCCACCTGATGGTAAGTGGTTGCTGTGGCACATAGACATCTACATCTATCCTCGATTGCGAATCAAAATGCAGGTGCGTTGTCACCCGTGAGGACTGAGATGAAATGCCTCGTTTCCAGTAAAAACGGTCTCCGGTTCTCTACACTCACCATACGAAACACAGCAGCATTAAGCTACTATTTTGCACTGGTATTTTGTGAGAGCGTGGTCCCTCCTTGAGCCGACCTTATCGTGCAACAACTATATTACTAATATAACTGCAACATTTGTACTACTAATATAACTGCAACATTTGTTTAAAATGTATATTTCTTTTATAAACATCTTCAGCTCTTTATATGATAAATGGTACATTTCGACCTCTCATAGGGGACCCTCTATAAATAAGACAGCTGTCATGTTGATCTCTTTGCCCATTTGGGAAACTGGTTAAATGAAAAGTAAAGGCTAATCTAATTATATAAAAATATCATTTGTTTGTTCGTATTTTATGCGATGCCGTACCGTTCATTAGTTTGCGGTATCAGATATCAGATATCACCCGCGCGAAGCTGGGGCAGATCGGTTCCTTAATATCCCAGTTAACCAGATTTCACTGTATATGTAATTTTCTATGGTATGAGTATACCTGACTGTATTCTCCTAATTTGTATCCTACTACACGTGAAGGTCAGAAGTGAAAAGAGCACAAAGAAAATCGAACGGACCAGTTCCGAAGACTGTGAAGCTCTCCAAAGCAAATGAAGAGTTCTACGCCGACAGACGCTGGCCTGACGGGGTTGTCAGATATATTATTAAGGAAATACCAAAATGTAAGTTTTACTTTGAATTAAGTGCTTACATAGAATACTATAATACATAGATAATAGAACGGGGGAGTGGGCGGAGCCCGTGTAGCCACTAAAATGTCACTAGCACGTCAATTCACACGTATAAATGTCAACACGAGATGTGTTTTGATGTTACAATCGTTTCCAAATTTCGCAGGCTAATTATTTAGAAAATGTCGAATTGCACCGATGACCTTGAACATTAATCAAAAGTCTAAAATGTGTAAATTTACTCGGTCAGTCAACACAGCGAATCGGGTTTGGCGGCGCAAATCCTCGTATAAAATAAAGTTGACAGCCATTCTATTGTGTATTATAGTATTCTGTGTTTACCATCTAGCAGTAGCATAAGAGAATATAAAAGCTAATATCCTGTAGGTATCATAAGAGGCGACAAAGGGTGGGTGCGCCAACGCACACCTTTGCATTTCGTTTGTTGATGTATTTATTGGTTGTTGAGTTGGCTGGCATAACTTCTCCTCGCTTCCGTTCCTTCCCCGCACAGGCCTGCCAGTGGGGGGAGCTGGATACTTGTGGACGCATCGTGGGTCCTCCAATGATAGGTGCGCTCCACCAAATGGAAGGGGGAGATGGTGGAAGCTGTAAGAAGATGCGCGCCGCCATTGTTCGCCCTAATGCAATGCAATTTTTCGTCGTGTCCGCAAGCCGATAACAGTTCGCAATTATCATCGTGCCTGCATGGCCGTCCTTATTTTTGAGCTGTCTTATTTGTTGTGCCTTTATCCGCAGCAGCTCATCTCCCGTCGTGTCAGCCGACGCATCAAATTAATTTCATAGCAATTATAATGTCCATAGTCCGCCGCGTGCCGCGTTCGCCATTTTGTTTTGGTTCCTTTTGAACCACGCTAATACAGTCCACTTGATGGCTCGCCCCGCCATACCTTTCGTCACTTTCGCGTACCCAGAGGGAAAACTGAAACATAAGATGGACAGTGGCGTCTTTCTGTTAAGAACTCAGAATACAATAAAACTGCGATTGCAAGTCAGCCTGATAAACGTGTCAACTATGGCTTCTTATTATTTATGAGACTGAACTAGGTTTAGGGTCAAAGTAAGGCCAAAGGAAGTAAGGAATGGTTGGAAGGAAATATCAATTAGACATTTTACTACCTTTTTACTAACTCATTTTCGTGTAAATCTATTCGTGTCCAATTTAGTAATTGGTTTTAAGCTAGAACCTTTGATATAGAGACTTGAAATTTGAATACAACCTTGAATCGGATGACTATGGAAGAAAAAATGTGGTAAATAAAAAATATATAATTTTAAAAAAATCACTTGTTTTAGATGATTTGGACGACTTACGCTCACGTCTTGAGGAAGTAAACAGAATTTTGAAGGATGAGACCTGCGTGCGCCTTGAGGAAATAACTTCAGACGAGACGAGCTTATATAATGATTACCTGGTGCTGGATAACAGCCCAGATTATGTCACTGGAAGAGTTGGTGGGCGGCAGGTAAGTTATATAACCAATTTACTGAATTTTACGGCCCAATACTCAATATACGGCTAAAAGGCAAGCTAAAATATGCACATAAAACTGAGTTTTTTTTTTTGCGATGCGGTTGCCCAAACACCGATGTGATGCGGCAAGGTCGCGGGAGAACACCGTTAGAGCAATTTATAACATAAGACGTAAGGAGTCCCTTAGAGAAAATGTTCAAGTAATAAGCATGTCGGCACGTCTATATTGGATGGATCGAGAGTAAAGGTTTTACTCTAGCGAAGCATCGCTTCTTTATTAACGGGCAACCGTTATTGTTGATAAGATTTTGAAAAAACCTTCGTCGGGAAGCGTACTGTCATACGAGGCCTCATAAACTAGGTTTTAAAAACCCACTTTTATTACACAATCGGAAATTTGTACGAGTACAATAAAACCGTAAAAAAAAAAAACCCCTCGCAAAAAAAGTATTATTCAGGAATAGAATTTGTTACAATTTTTTTTGTTGGCCCGCAGTCGAAACTGGCAGACACGCGATAATACGGAAATGCTAGATTGAGCGGTTAGGCAGAGACTAAATCGTCCCCGGGAGGGGGAGGCAATGCTGCATTTAAATGATGACAAGACTATTTAGAGGAAATCTATGTAATCATTTTTATTACAGCCCTTCACAAGTCCGCGGCTGAACATAGGCCTCCCCCAAGGTACGACATGAAGCACGCTCCTGAGCCACCTGCATCCATCGACTTCCTGCATGTCTTACTAGGTCGTCACTCCATCTAGTGGGGGGTCACCCTACATTTCGCCTACCGGTACTAGGCTGCCACTCGAGAACCTTTTTTCCCCAACGGTTGTCGGTTCTTCGAGTTACATGGCCGGCCCATTGCCAATTCAGCTTACTAATCCGTTGGGCTATGTCGGTCACTCTGGTTCTACTGCGGATAACCTAATTTCTAACTTTATCACGCAGTGAAACTCCGAGCATAGCCCTCTCCATAGCTCGCTGAGCGACTTTGAGCGTCCTCATACGGCCAGCAGTGAAGGACCACGTCTCGGTTCCGTAGGTCATCACTGGCAACACGCACTGGTTATACAACTTAGTTTTCAGGTTTTGAGGTATACCTGACGAGAAGATGCGTCGTAATTTCCCGAACGCTGCCCAGCCGAGTTGAATCCGTCGATTGACCTCTCGGTCGAAGTTGGACTTACCTAGTCGGACTATTTGTCCCAGGTAAACGTACTCGTCAACAACTTCGAGCTTAGTGCTCCCAACAACTACCGGCATAGGTGTGACTTGGACATTAAACATGACCTATCCGTTGGGAGGCACTATTGAGGTCATTGAGCATAGTGCTTAAGTCGCCCAGCGATTCTGCCATATCGTATTATTATCCATGATTAAGGGTTTTCCCTGGCATTGAGAAACCGTAACAGTACTATACATTTGCGACGAATTGCTAACTATCTGGTTCTTGTAAGTATTATATGTTGTAATGCTAGCATATTTGCGCCATTCATCCTGAGTGCATTTGAGGATGATCCTCTTTTGCCTACAAATATTATATTAACTTTGGCCTATATATTTACAATTTAATGTATGTATTACAAGAACAATAAATAGTTTTATTAAAAACGGTTATGTAAGTTCTGTAAATAATGGGAACAAGAACAAATAATACCGGTTACTAGACTCCAAAGTGTCAGTAATTCCTTCATTGTGATACATTATAACTAGGGTTACGTTTATTTCGCAACCAAAAAAAAAAAGAAATTTCGCATAAATATAAATTAAAAATCCTAAATTTTGCATTTATTCGCATAAAAAGAACAAAAAATATTTAAAAACTCGTATTTATCATCATAATCATTAAAATAAGAAAATGTTTATTACAGAAAAATTAGTTAAAAGCTAACATCGTGGTTGTCTCTATATTTCTTGCGTCATAAATAACCGAAGGCAAAGGCTTAGCCTTCGGTTATTTATGACGACATTGTAGATACCGAAATATCTTTCAGCATCTACACTGTTGACTGGGCTGTGAAGACTTTGTATAGCTGCATTCGCGAACCTCAGGTAGCAACATTTTGATGCAAGTAAAATCTGCATGACGTTAACAGGAGTTTCTTGCTGAAGACTCGTAATATTAGAAAATTCACGTGTTTATAACATAAACATAACATAAACACTCACGCCTGTCACCCAGAGGGGTAGGCAGAGACTACGGACTTCCATTTGGCACGATCCTGACATACCTCTTTCGCCTCATTTACATCCATATATCTACGCATACATGCTCGTCGGTTAACGGTACTTCTAACGTGGCCGCTTTTCAAAATATCGCCAATTTGGTCGATAAACTTTTTTCTAGGGCGTCCCTTCCCGACTCGGCCGTTCACATCTGCCATATAAATTTGCTTTGTCACTCTTTCCTCATTCATTCTTTCTACATGACCAAACCACCGAAGCATTCCTTTCTTAATCCTGGTCACAACATCATCTTGCATACCACATTTATCTCTTATCACGCAATTTCTCACCCTGTCATTCAGATTCAACCCTAGCATACTCCTTAAAGACCGCATTTCCACAGCATTTATTCTACTTTCGTGCTTCTTCTGCCACACCCAGCTTTCACTACCATACATTAAAGTAGGGACTAACACAGCATTATGAATTACCATACGTGCCTTTTTGGACACATTCTGGTTCTTCATAATAGAGTGTAGTGCCCCATTCACTCTATTCCCTGTCACGTGTTTATTTCATTTAAAAATGTTTTTCTTCGAAATTTCGTCGAAAAAGTATTAAAAGCTATATTTCGTATTTATCGCATAAATTACGTGAATTTCGCATTTATCATTTCTATTTCGTAAAAACGAAAATTACGTATCTCTAAATATAACGTATATTAAATAAAATTAAAGTGTCTGTGATATTGAAATAACTGGAGTTATTTGCATGCCGTTAAGACATAAATAAATATTTTTAAATCTTTGTCAGTCTGTCAGTCAGCGATAGTCTTTGCAATGCCTGGACTGACTTTGACGAAACTTGGGAGTAGGTAATGTCAGAATGATCAAGACTATATATTTTTTCCAGAAAAATTGACATAAATAGATCGCTAGCTAATGAATAAAAATCTTAATAAGTTTTACATGCTAAAATATTTCTTTAGAAAAACCTTTACACAACCCGGTCAAATTTGAGAGAACCTACTTATATGAATATTTAAGTATTAATGTTTTTATGGCTATTTCTTTGCTTAAACAAAACAGAAACTTTTTATTTAATATGGATAGATAGATTATAAATAATACTTACTGAAAGTCACTCTAAATTATTACTAATTTAGCTTAATTAATAAACTTTATAGTTTTTAAAATATAAGAGTACACTCTACCTCAATACGCCATATATAAAAGGCATTTTCATACGTGGTGGAGCCATGCTGCAGTTCTATTACTAGTATAGTTGTATCACGAATGGGTCGGCTCGACCGGGGAAGGACCACTAGGAGTAATAGTGTTCTGTGAGGACCACGCTCTCACAGAATACCAGCGTGAAATAGTAGCTTAATGCTGCTGTATTTCGTATGGTGAGTGTAGAGAAGTATATTATTGCTCGTGTATTACATCAATTTACTTGATATAATACATGAACAATAATATTTGATCGATTAATTGATTATTGGGATTATTAGTGATAATGTAATATTATTATCCATACGTTGATTTGTTATGATACTTTCAAACTATAATACACCTTCCAGGTTAATGAGAAATATTACTGTATACGTATTTTATTACTAATTAAAAAAACAAAAAAAATCTCTTAATGGTGATTAAAAATGATAAGCATAAATTACACTTTCTTTTATTATCGGTATAATTTGTTTTAAATTTCTTTAAAACTTTTTTGATTTTTAAACGAACCGCTTCAAACGTAGCATTGATGCATGCGCAGTACGTCTGTATAATGATGTAGTTAAACAAAAATTGTTAATTAATCCAAAAATAGATATATTTTGAAAGAACAAACGTATTTTATCAAAGAACAAACATTAATATAAAAATATAAAAAGACCAATGATAACGAAAGAAATTATAAATTGGAGTGGGGGGCTAACTATAAGGCAGATTTTTAATTAATTTTTTATAAATAAATTATTGACGAACAAACAATTATTGATAGAGAACAATCAAAAACAAACCGATAATGATATGTGATAACGAAATTAGAAAAATAAAATAAAAATTCTGGGGGCTAACTCCAACGAGCCTGTATTTAAATCGTGTCTAACATTGATTTATTTAACTCAATGGTGTCTAAGCATAAAAGCAGAGTACCTTTGTATAATAAAAGGCATCACCTATACTCTCTGTGCACTATAGATTTTAATAAAAAATAAACTGACAATGTGTAATTATTAATATTTTTTTGATTTTTATTTGAAAAGTAGTAGCAGTAAAATAGTCGTGTGGTGGTGGCAAAGGAGGACTCCTATTCCAATGAGCAAATATTATTTTAATGAATGAATCCATGCATTGATGGAGTGTAGAGGTAACAGAGGATAGGAGATAGAGGTAACTCTATGTATGCATAATTTAAAAATCACTGCATCCATTACTCCCTTAGAGTTTTTATAAGCAAAGCTCTCTTGTTTATACTCTAAGATTACTTCATTTTCCAAGATTGATTTAGTAAAAGCGATTTTTTTTTTGCGCCCGAAGCAATTAAAGGGCTACCCTATACGTAGGGAGGCGGAAAATGCATTACGCATACCACGATAGCCGGTCTATCGTGGTTATGAGGGGCTTACTGTCCTACTGGGGACCCTAAGTGATACTCTCTAAAAACCGCCTTTGGGGACAGGCAACCGGCTGATTAAGCTGTATTGTGCCTTATCATGAGCGACCCTCTTTTGGGAAAAGAGGGCGCAGGCGGCTAAGTGCCGCTGAGGGAGTGCCTACGAAGGCAAATTAAAGTTGGTTAATACAATAATTTAGTTTAATTAGAGTTGGCCTGAGCCGCCAGGAGACAGTTCAGGTCGTTTGACAGTTTATTAGGC